TACGTTTTGATTTTTGTTTTTGTTTTTGAAAGTTGTTCCTCTCATGTTTAAATTACTAAAATATGAGTTATGGGTAAATTGACCACAAATGATTTTTTTTTTTTAATATTGGGGAATTTAGGGGATGAAAAATATATTTTCAAATAGTTGATGAAAATCAAATTTTTGATCAATTAAATTCAAATATTTAAAATTTAAAAACAAACTACTGAATCCAAAAATTGATTTAAATCAAAATTAACTACAAATGATTGACATATGAGGGAACTATATCACTACATGTATATGTTTATGTTAATATAATCCTGATTACTACAGTCAATCAATAACTTGTAAGAAGAGGAGACCTAACAGCATCATCGTCTGAAAACGACCTAAGCGTTTAACAATAATAGTATACATAATTAAGTATTTGGTTTCTGATCTTTGAACTTTGACAAGAAATTATCAATTAACTACAATTATCTATTAATTAAATGTAAACATTTAGAAAAGGAAAACTTTTGAACTTTATTAGAGTATAATAATCAAACATAATCCCAGTTAAGTTTGAATCATTCCCCAGCCGAAACACGAGGAGCCAAATTAATTCAACTATCTTTTTTAATTCCTTAATTCTCAGCAAATAAAATATATAATAATCTTACAGTGACTGAAAATTTTCTTCTCCGCCAAACACGCTTTTAATCATACATGTAGACATGTTTGTAACATTGGGTCAAGTCCAAAGTGTTCAAAATGTACACGTACTTTGAAAAATTATGCAATCAAGGAGGAATAATCTAATTAAAGAGTATACATGGATATAATATTTGGTGTTCATAAGTGGTGGTAGACTTTAAATAAAACAAATATGAGGGCGAAAATGCAACCTGGCTATGACTGCAGTATCTCAAGAAAGGTCTTAACTTTTAAGATTCAAGTTGCCTAAATAGTTCCCAAAAACTAATTACATATGTTGAATTATAGAGTTAAAACTCTGAATTTTGATCATTTTAATACTATGAGTTTGGATGGAATTTAATCGAATGAAGAAAAAAAAAATGTAAGTGGTCCTCCATGCAAAGAAACTAATGGGAATGAAGACACAACACATGCACAGCGTCAACTAATTTAGGTAGAATCCTTAAATTTGCTTTTTAAATAGGAGGGTGGGGATAAATTATCTCTTTAAATTATTGATCAAGATAACTCATTCTTTATTTAACGGTTATTGCACGGTAAAAATTCATTTAATTACCACCCACGTATTTTTTAACAGAAAGCTTATATGTCATGACATTAAATAATGAGTTTATTATCTTAATTAATAATTTGAAAGGGTAATTTATTCTTACTTTTTTGGGGGTCATAATTGTTCTTGTCTTCTTATTTGAGGGATGGATTTGGAGGTTTTCCCAATAATCTATTTCGTATTCACGAAGGTCCAATAACGAGAGTTAGACTTTAAAAAATTCAAGAAGTTGTAAGTATGTTTATTGAAGAGATTTGGGTTAAAAACAATGCAAAGTGACTAAATTGAAACTTGGCGGATTATCAAGGCTTAATAAACATTATTCAAATCCAACCACAGTTTATTTGAAGTCATTTGAGTGAAATTGCATAATTTGGATTAAAATCACTTAATTTGGCCATAAATGTATAATTGTGACGCAATTTATCACAAATTGATGTTTTGAGCTATTCACACGTGTTTTAAGTATTTTTGTAATTTTTTTAATTTATTTGGGCTAAACATTATTTTAATTAAAACTCAATTCGTGTTTTATTAAGAATAACACATATTTAATCATTCTTTTAATAGAATTTGCATATAACTAGTTAATTTTCTATTCTGATTTACACCAAATTAGTTATTTAAAGACTTGTAACTCTCTAATTAAAAACAAATTATTTATTCTGAGATTATTTAAAAAGCTTTTCTCTTGATTCATTTGTAAACTTACAAATTATTCTTGTAACATTCAAATCCAATTTATCACTATCATTCTTTAGTGTGACATTAAAAATCCTTCTTATACCTCTCATTTCTATTTTGATATAAATAACGTATTAATGTTTGTTTTCGATAAATTTAATCTGACTTTTCTTAGGGGTTTTAAATTTTCTTATCATGTAGGTTTCATTACTCTCTTTACAGTTCACATCAAAAACTAAAACTTGGTTTTTGAAATTTAGTTAAAAAATCTTGACCATTACAAATTAATTAATATAAATAAAAAGCTGTTACGCGTAGAAAGACAATCCATACGTGTTACTTTAACACTACATGGATGAAGGATTGTCGTTTTACAAGGATTGAACTTTTTTTACATCAGAGTTAAAGACATCTCAACATCTTATAATAAAATGTCACGGATGTTAAGGTTTTGTTTTGAGTTGCGATGATGTTAAGGTGTTCTTTTGTGTAATAAAACGTCATTTTTTGCATTGGCTTTAATTATCTCATCAAAAGAATTCTAGAACAAAGCAGAATTTGTTCCCCTAAACAGACTGCTTGTTAATTTTGGTGGTTAATTTTTTAAGTAAATTTCAGAAGTTTTGAATTATTGTAGTGAGAGTTGGTATTTTAATATGACCTCCAAAGTTTTGGAATGATTTCCAATCAAATTAAAAAAAGAAAAGAAAAAAGTATTACTAGTAATTAATTACTAGCTAGATAGTTACAAACCAACGAACTAAGCTGATTTTTCTTGTTGAGATTTCTAATTGAACCGAATGTTGTAACTCGTCGGTTATGTGCCTTCAAATCTAACAATGCATCGGTTGCTTCTTAACAAACCAGCAAATATTTCCATAACCTTTAAAAAATAATAATAATAAAATTTCTTTAATTAATTTATAGATTTTTTTTTTTTTTTTTTTTTTTTTTTTTTTTTTTTTTTGTAACATTAAAAGCTTGAAACCAACGAATCAAGTTGACTGACTTGTGCATTGGTTAAGTAATTAAGAATTATTAAACGACGCGGTATTTGTGGACCCTTCAGGCCGAGTGCAATTGGTCTGCAGGCCGTAGCCCACAGATGTCCGGCTTGAGAGGGAACAACACTTCGATTTTGAACGTCAGATTAACCAAGCCTATCAAAGCCCACATTTTATTGGATGTGATTTTTTTTTCTTTGGGTAAATTAAAGTTTAGAATAAGATAAGGTTACTCAACTTAAAGCTTAATAATTTAATGTACAAATTATCTATTCACAAGTAATAAAGGGTCGAAACTATATTGCAATATATACAAACAAAGGGATGAAACTAAATATTCAATTCTTATTAGTTGAGCTAATCCTCAATGATATGATAAAAATGGGTTTCAATGAGTTTCTTCCATTGCAATCCCTTTTTGTTAACCTCATTTCAATTTTCAATTCAATAATACTATAATTATAATATTAGATAAAACAATAA